TATCTCTACTGAATTATTTTCCCAGTAAAAATTTTTAATATCAGTGTTTTGAAAAAATATTTTGACCAAGATTGAATAAAAAATTATTTAATCAAATTTTTAAAAATTCATGACTATCCATCTTTCGTCTTACTCCATTATCATATGATGAATAATCTAAATATTGCGATTGAAATGGAAAAAAGAATGAGTAGAGCGACATACAGTTCCTATATCAAATAAAACTAGTCACTTCTCTATCAATAAAAGTATTTTGATATAAATGCATTGAAACAAGTCTCTACGGATTCATTATGTTATATCTTCTAGATGAAGCTGGCAGCTTTGTTAAAACTTGACACTACAAAGCCGTCAACTTGCTTTAAGTGTTTGTCAAAAACATACTAATAAATTAAAATATGGTTGGGTCAGTATGCCACGGAATTGTTAAGATAATGCATAAGCCAAAAACCTCATCGTGGCGTCATCCATGAAATTGGATGTACGCCCAGTGCGTAAAGTGCCATGAACGCTTTGGCGTTATCAATATGACACCATCCTGCTGGCTGTTGCTGTCGGTTTGTTGCTTTCATCAACACAATATGTATGGACTAATTTCGTAATTCAGGGAAACAAAGTTTAAAATGTAACTCTTTTATCACAAAATACAGGTGTATCAATTTTGGAAATCTTTTTCCCTTATTTGAAAAAAATGTAATTATGATTTTGACAAATTGATTTTATCAGATATCTGAGATTTTCATTCAGAAAAGTCAATGCAGCAGTGAATACTGATATCAGGGCGATTAAAGTGGATAAGACATAAATAATTGTAGAACCCCCTTAAAAGCAATATGAGCCTATCCCAATCCCAAAGGTATAAATTACCCACATTTTCTTCCCACATATAAGCATATTCTCTTATGAGAGCTTTCACTCACCACTATAGATTGAATATTGGTTCCTGAGGAATTTTCCCCATGCAGATAAATGTCAGGCAGTCAATGCCAACAAATTTTTCCACATTGGTGAGCTGATTTTTGTATTTGCTGTATGCTTTACAAAAGAGTATACATCCACAAACATGACTTTTATTTTATAAAAAAATAATAGCCTGTGTTTGTTTATATTATAAGAAAGTATTTTCTGTGTCTTCAGATGGAGGTAATCATGTGCAAATAGCTCCCAGTGCCATATCTAACACTTGGAATGTGATGGCAGAGCTAGATTGTGTGTGATGGTTCTGAATTGAGCGTGGTGTACCCAACATTAAAACTTGTGAGCCTGGTCAGTTCAAAGTAAAGCATCATGCAAGACCATTTTACAAAAGGTGTTTTTTCTTGTTGGAGGTTACTTTAAAAATGCCCCAAAAACTCTAACATCTGCCTCGTTACACTAATGGTGCTTCTTCAAATAATACTCTTCTAAATATGTCCAAAACAAAACCTGTTTTGTTCAGTTATGGTTCCAGAAAGTATTTTCCAATGTTTTTTGCGAAACTTATTGTGTCCCTCATCAGGCTATAGAACTCGCATAATCACACTAATTACTACACGAAGAATGTTATGAATTGAATACATAAAAATGAAAAAATCACTAAGTTATCTGTAACATGAATGAGAAGGAAGAAAAAGCACTATAAATAAAAAGGAAAATAATTATTCTAAATTCTGTCACAAAACTCACCTTAGTACGTTGAATGTGTTAAATGCATTGAATGTGTTTCAAAACGGAAGTTCCGAAACATTGGCAAACTAGGATTTTCATTTAGTGGCCAACACTCTGAATTATTTATCCATAATATATTTAATTGAATTATTGTGTATTTCAAAATATAAGATTCCCCTGAAGAAAAGATTTTGAAAGTGAAATAAAATATGAGATGAGAAAGAAAAGATACATATCATATTCAAAGATGCTGAAAGCAATAAGTTATGAGCAGATTGTGAAAATGTATTAAGCAGGTCATTACAAACTTCAATGTTTTGACTTTGATTTGTAAATTTACTTCTTAGGGTGCATTGTGGATTATAGTATCTGGGAACAAAAATGAGAATTGTCATGTTGCCGTATTTGCTGATATTTAAGCATATATGATACATTGATAATGCTCCTTTTATTTAATACAAAAGGCTCACATGGAGATTAAGCACACCATCATGAGCGTTAATTCATGTAGTTTTAGCCGTTGCAAACTCATCGTGCAACCTTGATTTCAGAATGACCCAATAGTTGTCAATACATCAAAGCTAGCATCAAGCAATAATGTGTTTGGTTTGGGGGCACTGATATATACTGATGTATACTAATCATTCTGATACATTGAACAACCAGTGGCAATCACTTGACAGGCTTGGTTCATAATGGGCAGAATGTCCAACTAGCCAAACTAGTGCTCACAGGACAGGTGGGGATTTTGTGCTTATGGTAAAGAGTGGATCCACCTCAATGTGCATCTTAATTTGTAGTAGCCAGTAATTTGATAAAAGATTCACTTAGTAGACTTGGAAAACTTCAAAAAACCTAAAAAACTTGGAGAGGGAAAAAAAAGAAAGCAACCTAGCAGTTTGTGTAAACATTATTTTACACAAACTGATCATTTCTGTAAGATAACATTTTTTTAATGTGTTTCAGTGTGCGAACGATCGATGCATCTTTGCCTCTTGGCGGTGTGATGGTGATGACGACTGTCGAGATGGTCATGCATCGGATGAAGCGAATTGTACATCTGTCACTCGGACAACAGAATCGCCAATTGTTCCTCCAATACTGCCTCCGGTAAGATTTTGTCTTGCTTTCGTTTGTTGCATTGATCTGAAAGGCAGGGAGCAAAAAAATAGAAAAGCCTTGTTAATGTACTCTCTTGTGCCTCGTTGAAAAGTGTATGATGTTATTTGCATTACAAATGAAGGTACAGAGTGACTTGGGATCTAATGAATAGCGAATGTACTAATTTAATTATATAGAGGGTTAGTGTTCACCCAGAGTATGGAGAGATTACCCAAAAGCTTGCCCCATTCAAAGATAGCTTCACTGATGCACGAGTAATTCCCCGCAAGATTGTCACAGTACAAAGCTCACAGTTCATAACTCTTACCGTTCACCAACCATACTGATTTCACCTCTCTAGTATTAGCATTAGTGTTTCAAATAGCCTTCAGAAACTAATTGAGAATTACTGGAAATAATTGGCAAAAATTATTTCACTTTGTGCTTTTGAGTGTGATTTTATTGTATTTTGTCTCTTAAACAGTGATAAATTTAAAGGGATTCACTGCAGCAAAATTGGCAAGTTGTTATGGAAATATGTTGGTGAAGGTTTATAAAAGCTTATCATTTTATACTTGCTTTGATGACTACGTTGGATGAATTAAACTTCTATCTGCCAAAGGAATTTTCTATTCTAATATTCTTAGCTGCCTCCTGTGTAGTTGAAATCAGTGTTTGTAGTATCTGTGAGCCTTTTAGTTTGTTTTCCTTCCTGGCAAAGAAATACTAACAAGAGAAAAACATGATATTATAATTGTTATGCATGTGTGGTGTGAAGATGATAAGGAATCAAAGTTGTTCCAATTTGATAATTAATGTTGGCAACTGAATCTTACTGAAATTTAGATCATGTTAATATAGGGATAATACATTATAGCAGTGAATGGGATAAATGTGTGACTTTTGTTACTTAATTTTTATTTTGTGTATATTTCTTTATTGTTGAGAAATCCAGAATTTGTTGTATTTTGGTTTAATCAGTTTGCTGTATTTAATTATCTCTCATTTGGCTGGTGTACCAGTTGTTCTGTTTTATTTTATACACCTTCAGAAATACGAAACCAAGAGAAATAAAGTTAATATCCAGAATTAATGTTTATGTATTTCTCTCTTACTAGATAAATGAGAGGATCTCAAAAAGTTAATATTCCTGAGTGGATGTAAAAGAATTCAAATTTTAAAAGTGTCTGATCAGGTTTCAAATTACAATTTTGTAATTGTTGCCAACATTAATGTGTCAAAGGGCAGTGTTCGCAATTTACTATGTGTGACCGCCCAAAAAAAACTTTATTTCTGCTGTTCTCAACATTCAATGCCTCTGAATTGACTGTTGATGTTTGCCACTGACAACTAAATAATTGATGTTGCTTGATCCTCCTGCTCTTCTCTATGTAAATATGCCTTTTTGCTTGACGACTTCCACCACCAACCTCTTACCAGGAAAATTAAATATGTGTTTGAACAAAATGTTTATTTCTAAATGTTCTTTAATGGTAATTTGATAATAAATTAATAAATGGTCTAAATGCTTGCAAAGATTCATCAATCATACATCCGCTTTATGTGGATCCAAGAAGAAATTATAAATACGCTTTCCATGGACCTGAGAACAATCCAATCTGTGTAGGACACTGTCTTTCTGCCTGCTATTTTAGAACAACTGTTCATGTAGTCTTGTTGCTAGGTATCTCACAAATAATACAACACCTGCTTATGTTACAATTCTAAGAAATGATATTGTGCAAGATGTTCTCCGACACATTTACTTGTTATATACTTACTCATATTCTCTTGCAATTAATTGCAGAGCATGCATGCTCACATATTTTAAAGAATTGCTTTAACTTTTTTCAGTCAGGTTTTTGTTGAGTATGTTAGAAACAATTGTTTCTTCTGCAAATTCCATTGAGAATTTGAGTAATTATGTCTTCTATTGACAAATTATCTTAAAATTTGTTTGTGAGAATTCTGGATTAGATAACTAATGCTGCAGCAGAGGACAGCAAATATACTTTTAAAGCAATATTTTAAACTTTTATCTTAATGAACAGCTTTAAATATCGGTGATATTTTCAAAATTCTAGAATCTTTTAATTTATTTAGTTGTTAAATGTGAGACTTTATTGGAGGACACATTTCTCTCTGTTTTAACTGTATTTCAATATTTTCTCTTCAACTTTTCATCTATGTATTCTCTGGTCAGTGGTGAAATCATAATACAATAGACTCTATATTGTACGACTTCTGCCAAACAGACATCCGGTTATTATGGACATCCTACTAATGAACTAATAACATTGTTGGGGGGATAAAAGAAGTATGTTTATTAAAGCAGAATATTGATGATTATTAACTTAATTCATAAAATATACTTATTAAATAATAAGGAAATGTATTTATTTATTTAATATACAGGCAACTAGTCCACAAAAAACAACAAAAATATATCAATAACTCAAAAGCATATGTATAGAAAGTTGATAAAAATGTCATTAATTTCTTTCCTTGTGTTTAACAAAAGATTTGTATTTATTTCTTTGTTTCAGTTAATGTTAAGTGCATTAACAAAACATTTGCAAAATGCAAAATTGATTGATGGGAGTATTGGCTATGTAAGAGAGTTAACAAACTTCAAATCTAGAAACAACATTTTTATTATGAAAGTGAGAAGTTTTGTACATTGTTTGGTTAGACTAAAGTGGGCAATCAATATCACCATTTACCAATTTGTGAGGTTAACCACATTGTGTGAATTAATTAATTAATAAGTATATTGTGATGAAGTATGAATTACTTTATATTTATGTATAATCTTGGTTAAAAAAATATAACCTCATATGCTCAAAATTACATACTGTATTTTCGGCCCTGGAAGGAACAGACTTGAGCAGACAAGGTTTTGTCCTATCAAATCCATACAATCAAGAGTCTACTGTAAAATAAACCAATACAGGATTGAATGTGGAGCACACAAGATATATATTGTCACTCATGTACTACTTAGTTTCAAGGAAACAATTCTGTGCTCCCAGAACAACTGCAGTGACTGGTTTCTGTGCTCCCAGACAAACTGCAGTGATTGGATGTTCCTTTGCTCTAACGAACGCTGCATCCCCTATTGGTGGAAATGTGATGGAGTCGATGACTGTGGGGACAGTTCAGATGAATTGGGATGTGGAGAAACGACCACAGAACCAACAACTACCTCTGGTCCTACGAACTGCACAACTACTATTGCTCCACCAGCTAGGGGAGGTTGCTCGAAAAACCAATTCCGGTGTGATTCAGGTAGGTATTTATGTACCTAATCATTTAAGCCCATAAGACATTTTTGATTAAGTTAAAATGAAAGAAAGTAGGATTTCATTGCAACTTCATCAGGGTGGTTTTCAAAATGTATATAGATAGTAAATACGCACAGGAATCAAGATTGCATCAACAACTACTGTAGAAACTCAAGTGTTTGAGTAGACATTTTGCTGTGTGGAGCTGCTTGATCACTGAACATGTTAAATAGTTTTGTGAATGAAAAGCAGGAAGGAAAGTCCTGAAGTGAGACTTATAGTGAAAACATCAATGGGAGGTCATTAAGGAGAAATCACATTATTGTTAGGGCGGTGTTATTATTAACTTGATACAGTGAAACTTCGTTTATATGTTTTGTACTTACACGTTTTTCACATTTGTACATTTTTTTCACAAGTCCTGGATAAATTCCTATAATTCCCATGTTAAATTATTTCTGATATCCGTTTCATGTTTCTACGTTTTTCACACTTGTACATTCATATTAAAAGTCCCTTTAAGATCATATAATGTTCAAACATTCCTGTGGAAACGACGAGTAAGACGCAGCCTGTACCGCAACCTGTACCAAGTGCCCGGAATTTTAGTAGAGTCGACATGCTCCAAAGCATTCTCACAGGGCGTCCTCTTGGCCTCTGAGGCGACATCCCATTAATGAAACTTGTAATATAGAAGCTCAGCTCGACCTAGCTGGGGGGCCAAGACCATCCAAGCTCGCGGGGTGGTAGCGCAAAGTCAGCTCCCAAGCTACCTCTGGTGACACGACTTCGAAAAATTACAGAGTTGCTGTGAAAGGGAACTGGAGGCAGGATAAATTTGATTTCCGAGAAACCTTTATTTTTGACATTGCACCATACAATCAGTTACAAATCAGTTCTGAATAAAATAGTGTATCCTGAGAAAAGCGTTTTGTAGAAAGCTATGTTGCTGAATTGGAAAGGATTGTGGTCGTTATGGCCACATCATTTTCTTATAATTTTCAAATCACAAATTAATAATTTTCTTGCATTTCTAAGATCAAAATGAAACAAATGAAAGAGAAATTAAAATATTTTCCAAGAAAAAGGTACAACTTCTAACGGGTTAAAGTATGCAGTCTTCAGGAAGCAAACTTAACATTAGTATTGCTAACTGATTCTTGAGGTTAGAAAGAACAGTTTTGACTTAGGAGCAAGTGACATTTTCAATTCAATCTCAAATTTAATATTACATTATTTTCATTATTCTACCCTTTTATTTCAGTGAAATAGAGATGTCAATTTGTGATAGTCAAAATGCAAGAGACGTTTGGTTAAGTAATTTTTAAAGTGGTCACGCTCTCTTATTTAATATAATTTGGCAATTCTTGCAAATTATATTTACCAAATACACAAAATGTTGTTTCATCCTGTGTTTATTTTACTTGTAGTAAAAGTTAGTTTAGTGGACCTACAATATGATTCTAAAGGTCAAATCAGTTTTGTCACACTGTCAATTCAACTAAGAGGCTATGCAATTACTCTTCTTATATAATTTGAAATTCAAATTGTACAATGAATTGATCAGGAATAGAATCCAGGTCTTTTTGATTTATGGCCTGTTGATACAGAGTAGTGACATTGAAATAATTTTAAAAGTGGTTTGTTTTTATGGAAATATTGCAGTATTTAGTTTTCATGTCTTATGTTCCTTAAACTAAATTTCATTAATTGGAATGAAGTTTTTTGTATATGTGACTTTTTTACTGAATTTCCTGAGTATTATTTAATCATTCTGAAATCTTCATATTAGAACCTGCCTCAGGGCGTTCGAACTCTTCATCAAAACTGGGGACAAAGCTCGAGGGTGCTACTCTAGCAAGCGCTAGTGTTGCCAGGTACAGCTGCAGGTTAGGCTATCTTTACACAAAAAAATTGGCTAATTTGTGAGAAATAGGAAAAGTGTTTTTTAAATATTCTGTTATTCATAATACAGACATAAGAAACCCCAGAAGAAAGAGCGAACATCAGCGCTTTGTTTTGTAGCATTAAGGGCCTGCTTGCGACCTACGAACTCACGCAGTAGCCACACACGTTTGAAGTATAGTTGGCAGAAGTTCGTGTTTTAGTTCCTGTAAGAAGGTGCTGCAGTTGACTGTGTCGCCGTAATGGTTTCCACCTTGTTACATGGGAGTTAAAAGGCCCTGATCTGCCTGGTCTCTGTTTATTGAATAATTTTATTTTTTAATAATGAATAATTGGAAATCTACAGAATATGCCCTTGAGGGATTTTATCTCCAATGGAAATGATCTTTAAAACATGCTCCTTTTTTCAGGGGAATGCATTATGAATGCATGGGTTTGTGATAATATGAATGATTGTGCTGGAGGAGAGGATGAACGATCTTGCCAAGGTGTAATGAAATGCCCCGAAGAAGACTTCATGTGCCTTCCAGATCGAGTATGTATATCAAGCAACAAGGTTTGCGACAAAGTTCCTGACTGTCCCAATGCTTTTGATGAAGCAAACTGCAAGGATAGCATCGATCCCTCTGGTAAGATAATTGTCAAAAGCACAACCATGTTTACACAATACAAGGCAGGTTCTTTCACAACCTTCCTTCAACTGTTTAGCCTTTCTCTTCCTTTTCTTTTATTTTTTTATTTTTCCTTTCCTTCTGTTTTGTTTTATTGTCTTTGGTTTTCTTTCTTTCTTTCTCCTTCTTTTTCATTACAATTTGATTTACCCTCTTTTGCATGCATCCATATTTTATCAAGTTGGATCAGACTTAAGCAATTTTTTGTCAGCTTGCAAAGAAATTTAGTTTCACATTAACTTCCCCACTAACTATATTGCTCTCCCACAGCTAAGTAAGATTGTTATCCTCTCAACAGGTGGCAAATAATATTCCCTAGAAAAATTAGAAGAGTCTGATGAGAGTAATGACATCAGAACACACAAAGATTGATGATAATGCAACAACATTGCATTGATGTTATTTAGTGTCTGATGATAATGTAACATTGCTAGATTTTCTAAACTGTTATAAATTCTCAGTCAACAATTTTTTTAATGAATTAAGTTTACTATTACAATTTTTGTTTCTAAGAAATGGGGGTAATTAAGTGATGCATGACATTTAAAAATATACTCATAGAGGAAAATAGCACTGCACAGAAGCACATTCCCCTGCAGTTTACATATATCTTCTAGATTCACTTTGAAAGTAATAGTACCGTACCTTGCTTAAGATTGTAACATTCAAGTGTTTCCACATAATTAAACCATTTCATTTTTCCCACAGAAGCCGCCACTCCATCATGTGATCCAGGATCCATCCAGTGTGACAATTCGCAATGTATTGCCCTTCACAAAGTCTGTGATGGACGTCAGGACTGCTTTGATGGCAGTGATGAGGACCAGTGCGAACACATTCACCTGCCAGTAAGTTTTTGTGCGAGAGCAGTGACTCAGAAAATGTCACAGTGTAGGCGTACAGTAGATCAAATAGTGTGAAAATCAATATAATAAGAATGGGTGCAACAGATTTACATGAATAGAAGCTGAGTTATTAAGGAGCAAATTTTTAATTAAAAGAAACAAATGGTGAATACAGGAGAATTTTTGGAATGTTGTTTATTGATATGAACATTTACAGCAATATATTGAAATGCATCAATAATTTCTCCACCTATTTTAATAATTTACTTTAAACTATTTACTATAATTTACTCTCTCATATTGGGCCTGACATTGAATTAATTTCTTTGATAATGTTTACAATTTTTTGACAATAATTTTAATTTAATGGAGGGGCTAGCTCTGGTTTTAATTTCTAGGCTTCTCACTATACTATAATGTCTTTGTGGGCCTGAAAATACCGCTTGTATGTGTGTTTGGGTGGTAAAAAAATTAATTATCGTTAGGAAACTTGTGTCACTACTTTTTCTGATAAATTAAACAAATTACAAATTTTGTTTATGAATTGCCAGCAACAGTAAGTGGTGGCTGCCTCTATTAATTTATTTCAAATGTCTTTTTAATTAAGTTTATCTTTTAACAATGTATCTTTATATTTCTTTACTGTTTCTGTTTAATGGCCATTGAATTTCTACAGAAAAAACAATTTAATGTTAACTTAATATCAAAACATAACTTTGCATTGCTGTAATATTTTCATTAGTCTTATTGCCTAACTTCCCTTTTGAATATTTACAGCAATCTTGGCATTGTCAATGACGTCAGTGACTGTTCCATATTTCCACCAGGAGCTCTTCTTACGTCCACCCTGAATTTCAACTAATAAATTTCTACTCTTATTTGCGACCTAATTATTTCATGAATATTATAGTATTTTCTCTGATAAATCACATTTTAATTACTTTCCTTTTCTCCCATCACATGTGGACCACAGGTCCATTTTCTATCTCCTTGGACTAATTACAAAAATATTCCAATTTATGCCCTGATGGCTATCAATTATTCCTCTACCAAATCCAGCATAGTTCTGATTAATCACAAAATATTTCTATACAATGCCTTAATGGCCATTGATTCTCACCTCACCAAATCTTTCATTATTCTGACTAAAATTGTTTGCTTACACATTCTATCTGGCCAAACTGGTTGTTTCATTGTTATATTTCTTCCTCAATGCGCTCTTGTTGCACCATAACCAAGCTTTAAGCGTGGTTTGTCCTCTATCAACAATGTCCTATCAACAATATTTATCTGCTTTATTTTTGAAAAAATTCTTAAATTTTTCAAAATTTACTTCATTCAATTAATATTTGTATTTTCTGACACCTCATACTTTCAATGTCTCATTTTCATTTGCGTCATTGTGCAATTTCTTTTATTTCACCAGCTATTTGACATTAAAGTTTTGCTTATAAATGCCAAAAATCCCTTTAGGTATTTTGCCTTGCGTCAATATATAATACGAGTTATAAAACAAGCAAGACATATTAATCAAAATTACAAATATTAAAAATAAGGTAATATAAAAATAGTGATTTAACCTTTAACATGCTCAGGTTTCAGGATAAATTAATTTGATTATGAAAAATAACTCTGTATATACATATTGCATATGAATCTGCATTTAAGAAACTCTAATGCTGTGTTTTAAAAAAGAAAGAAATACTTTTAGAAAGTTAAAGTATGTTGATGGCTCAAGGAAATATTTTATTTACTAGAATCAGTATGTTCATTCTTATTCCAATAAGTCTCAACACTGAGATGATAATCGAGTTGAAAATAAGTTGAAGCATTAGTGAAAATAGTGGTGTGTGCCTCTTTCTCCCTTTATTATTTTGTAAGAAAAATCGAAGATTCAATATTCTCTGCACCATAAAATGACCTTAAGACTAGTTAAGTTCTTGTATTGTATGTAATAAAATTCTCAAGCATAGTTGTTAAATCCTAAGTCAAACATGTAATAAAACACATTTGCTTAGTACAAAAAAATAACAAAAAGTTTGTATACACTGATATTGAATGGAGGTTGACATGTATTTCACAAATTCATTTTCAATGAATAATTTTCTGAATGCAGAAGAGTGGAAGGATATCAAATATATCCTTGAATGAAATACTAGGAGATAAGCTTCCACGAACAAATATTATTTGCAACTTCTGAAGACTCAAAAATATTTTATTTGCATGACGAAACTTGAACATTTTCTGGCTTTGAGCACTTAGTCTTTCTGTATACCAGTTTTTCTTTTCAATTTTTAGGACTTTTAAACTTAATTTTTGTTCAGCTAAATAAAGTTTTATTAGTTTTGAGTGTATGTTATGTTTAAACTGGTGCTGGAACAAATATATAATTAAACAAAATTTAATAAAATACAATATTTCATATAATGTTGAAGTATTGAGTTCTGGAAAAGTAGAGCTATTTAATGTTTTATGTGTTTTTTCAGGTTCGTGTGTTGCATATAGACATATTGCCTGATTCTTCAAATGACACTAGCCTGTCTGTGAGGTGGTATTCCATTGTTCCTATGAACAAGACTGCCGAATACTTGCCATCTATTATGGAACCCAATGCTAAAGGAGGTTGGCATAACGCATCTTCTTGGCAGAACAAAACCTCGTATACATTCACCAATCTCGTGCCTTACACCCTGTACAAAATAATGGTCTTTGCCCGCCTGAAAGATGGAGGAGCTACCAGTTCGTCTTCATATATTACATCACGTACTTTAGAAGGAGGTAAGATGAAATGTTTTATACTTACATTTCCAGGGAATGGAGTTCAAGATGTAAACCAAATTTGGAATAGAGTATTCCACTGAAACCTGGCATCACACCGACTGTCATTACTGCTGTGACAGTCCTGAGTACAATCTCTCACAATTACCTCCACATAATGGTTCATAGTACACAATTGTAATATTGTGAGTCATAAATTATTTATTATTTCCAAAAATGTTCATTTAAGCAATTGTCAACATTGTATATCTATATTGTATGACTGCATACTTCACAGTATAATCTCATTATTCATATCACACAAGTATTTCACAATTCACTGGTAAAAATTCATGAATATTTGTTTCTTTACTCACTTAACTAATATTCAACTAATCTTACCTTTGAGGTAACATGTATTTATAAGTGAGAGCATGGGTCATATTATTTGCAGCATATTACTATTAGATATTTCGATTTAAAAAAAACTATTATGCATGTACTGCAAAAAGCTTAAAGAGGCTGTGTATTATGGCGTTTTAGCCAGTCGGTGATCTCAATATTTATTCGATAAATTTGTTCCATTATGATGAACATTGTATTGTTTGTATAACAAACATAGCTGAACAAATGTATTGAATAATAAATTTCAAATCATAAACACACAAAAAAAAAACATATATTATTTCTGTTGGAGAGAATCCTTCTCCTGCTGAAGTAATGAATCTTTTAATAAAAGTATGATGTTGTTTGAAAGGTATTTTGTACAGACTACAATGGACGATGACTGAAATTATGTTACAGATTACTCTTATTTACAAATATAGATTAAATTTATGAAGTGCTCTTAACACCCTGCAAAGCATGGTGCTGAGAGTGAAGCAACATTACTTGGTCATAAAATAATTATGCAAAAGGTTAACTTCCCAGAAGCTCAAAGTACTTTCATAATCTCTTAAATAATTTTTCAAGAATGGAATTTTAATATGTGCCAGTATCGCAGTGTCAATTCACCAATGCAATGGGAAAGTTTTGCATGGGTTCAGTTGGTATACGATAAGTAGATATTTCATTGAAAAAATTCTCTTTTATTTTAATGAAATAATTTTTAAATCAGAATGAAAATATGTAATCTGAATGATGATAAGCTATTGTTTTTTGATTGGAAAGTCTTAAGTTGATCTTCAATGTGTATTTTGAGTTTGTTCTAACAAGTTCTCCAAGCAAACCGTTCCATGAGTTAATACTTTTGTTGAAAAAGACGTGCTTGAATAAATTCTTTCTGGAGGATAATTTGACTAGTTTAAGTAGGTGACCCCCATAGTTGACTACGTTTTATTGACGGGCTGGTGTAGAATCTCCAAACGAATTATTAGGTTTAATCCGATCACCAAGCAATTTTCTAAGCTTGGTTGGTTACCGAATCTTAATCTCTTTTCATTGGGGATGATTTTCACCATCAAGGGATTTTGGTTGCTTTATAACTCCTTCCACTGATTTACATCTCGAATAAAGTACAGAATCCAAATTGAAAATTTCATGACAACTTGGCACTCTTGTAGCTTAGGGTGAAGTCACTTGCCTTTCACCACTGAGGTTCCTGGTTCAATTCCCCTAGACTCCCCATAAAACCTCATGTGAAATTTGTTACGATAAAGCGAGTTTGACTACTTCACATGGGCTAGGCCAACCCCTGTGAAGCATTCTACTTAAACCTTACCCCCTATTCTTATTCCTTCCCATTTCTGACCAATGGGTGAGATACAAGCGCGAAGACGCTACCTATCGGCAATTCCAACTGGACTGCGACTGACGTGACTTGACTAACCAGCAGCCCCTGGAGGGCACTGAATAACGGAGGATTACTCCAGTGCGCTCTATGCTCCTTAAGGAGCTAGGAGACGTGTTGCATGGATGTAGACGTGACAAATTATTTAAAAAATTCACTCATTTTCTTGTTGTAGAGCCGAGCTCACCATGGAATGTTACGGTAAGGCAGATGAGTGGGGTGTCAGTACGCGTCAGCTGGAACAAGCCCAAGCTGGCCAATGGAATTTTGAAACTGTACAGAGTATTCCATACTCCTCCGTTCCCTCCAGTCAGCAAGCTGTCCCCTGCGGTGGAGCATCCTAGTGAAGAAATTCGCGGAGAATTCGTAGGAGACAAGGAGTATAAATTTTGGGTCAGTTTTATTTTACATGTTTATTTTATTATATTAGCAGGTTCAGTGGTATAGTGGCAAGTTTATTAGGCTGTTACTTGGGCAAAGTCTTAAGATTTTTAAGGGTGAAGAAATCCTTCATACAACTTCCTGCTCCGGGGAAGTAAAGCCAGCTGCCCTAATTAGTAGATTTATTGCATATAAAATATCATCAAGTCTAAGAAGACACTGAGCTAAATTCAAAATTGACTGTTTTGTTGCCCAAGTAATATCTTCTTTCTCTGCTAGATGGAATTGGAGCATTGTGAAATTTTCATGGTCAGACGGAAGAGCAGGTCTGAGTCTTGCCATGCCAACTAACTGACTAACATACTATACGAGGAATTGCTACAATTATATTTTTGGTAAAAACTAGTGTTATGTAAACTCGCAAGACCATAGGGAATTTCTGCAAGTAGCTGATTCACATAAAGTTAACCATTTGAACATGATGTAATGGTTATGGTTTACATAATTATTATTCGTGGATGGATTTTCATTATCCTGTAGCTGTTCAGTAATAGGACTACAATAACACTTGACTCATTTGTGTATCTTTCAGTATCTTGTTATTGACTTTACAAAAAAGAGCAATCAAAAATTGGAAATTACTCCTTTAAAGTTGACTCTTAACACAGTAAAGACGATAAATCAAAAAATGGAGTTAAAATTTATTCGGACATACACTCTTTGAAATTTATGAGATTTGAAATGAACTGGTTTTGTATGTGATTTGAGACCAATAAAATGAATTGAAAGATGAAATATTATTATGAAATTTAACTTTTTTAGTATAGTCTAGGGAATTTTAAATGATTCAATAGCTTCTTAAAATTACGTTCAGTACTACTTAGAAAAATGATGGCAAAGACAAGTCGAACTGGTTGTTTATATCCAGATTACAGGAACAGGAAGCATTCAGTTCAGTTTAGTTGAAGAGATTCCTGTATGAACTTTCACACATGTAATTTTTTTTTCTTTTTCTTTTAGGAAGGAATTTGGTTTGTCTTGTGCACCCCAGTAACAACAAAATTTACTACCCTTTATTTGAGCTTTTTATTTTATTTCAAGGTTATATTTAGTTCAGAATTTTATTATATGCTTAGCATAGTAGGAGTTTTTTTTTGTGAAATTCGAATATATCATTAAAATAAAAAGCAAGCGCTTCACATGAATGAAGTTTTATTCTTTAAAATATACTTCATCGGTCATTTTCTTTTTGAAACTGTAAATGAAAGGGTTTCAAATCATTTTCAAAAGTTCAGGGGTGCTAGTTATTACAGTAAAACTCCTTTTTTACACTTTTCAGGGGACAGACGGAAAAAAATGTAATATGCAGGAAAGTAAAAAACAATAGGTTGGGCACGTTTTTACATTATTTACTGCAACGGTGGCTCTGTTTTTACTTTCTCTTACTGCCTTTACTTCATAAGAATAGAAAGTATTATAATCATGCACTGGAATTAATTAATTTAATTAATTTACGTATTAATATTAATTTTAATTAATTAATATTACTATTAATTTACATATGTAGTAACTGCAACCACGTATGTATTAAATTAGTACATAATGAAGCAGGATGTTTCCACTTCTTCTGTATCAGTCCAAGATTTTCTATTGATAAATTACTGTCTTTTGCTGCAGATACATAACTTTCTCTGCACTATGTATGTTTCTGCATATAGTATGCACGTATACAAAAACATAAAAATTAAGATAAAAAATGCCATAAAAGCCAATAATTTTATTATGTAGATTTGCTAATGAGGTTTTAACTGAATTGTTTGGTTTATAGGTTGTAGCAGAAAATGGAGTTGCCACAAGTAACAATTCTGCAGTTGCAGTTCTGAAGTTTGATGATGCTGCCAAAATAGATAGAGTAACAAAACTTAAGGCCAGTGCAATCACTAATTCGAGTGTGACACTCACATGGATGACTGTTTCCAAGGTGGAAGGTTACCGCGTACAGGCCCAATCTGATCCTCCGTTTCCCCATCAGAGACCTGTCAATGCATCAAGTAACAATTACACAGGTATGTAGGTTGTCATAGAAAGTCAAGTAAATGATCAATGTCGGAAAGCGTCTTAGGGGAATACCGATATTCTGTCTTTGACTCGTTGCAACGTAATTAAATATTGAAAGTCAATTATTGACAATATTCAATACATTGTTTATGATATTTGGAGAATTTGTTTTCATTTTATATTAGGTTTGTTGATTCAAAATTTAATTTGATGAGTTCATTGTGTAAAGGTGGCCTTTCTGGGTGGAAGTCCCTTAGTGTCTCGCGGAAGCCAATGTGCCTACAGCTGGTCAGCAAATTGCGTTCTTATGAATAATAATGTGTAAAGATATTTCATTGTTGCCATATATACCAAAGTAGTGAAGTTTTCGATATAAAATAATTTTATTTTTTGTGAAACGTGACAAATGAATAGTGCTTGTTGGAACGTACTAGAGACGAAATTCTGTGCCCAGTGAAAATAAAAGTCAGAACTACGAGCGCGGCAGGTGTGTACACCATACACGGACATGATGCTTAAAATAATGTGTTAGTAATGTTTCCATATATATTTTTATTTAGTTTTAATTAATTTGAATTTTTATGAAACATTCGTATTTTGGAAATTATATTTTCGTCATTCGTTGGAGATGCAACCTCCAGGCTTTTGGGGCACCAGCCACCACTGATGTCAATAGTTGGTTTGTAAACTTCTCTGTGATTGGTCGAGAACCTGCATCATAATAAAATCTGTATCATAATGAGTATCATTGCAACTGGTTACAACCCTCGAATGAGATAAATAGGAGTAGAAAAAAGTTGTTGACAAGATGACACAAAACTTTTGCGTACCACAAACACATGAGCTGGTCATGTCTGTCATGTCACAGAGGTTTTTATTATATGTAAATCCGAAATTGGCACAGCAGTGCAGTAATCTACCATTGATTTAACATTGCATGTATTCGTTACTTAAAACAAATTCGTTTATTCTGAATCTATCTATTGCAAGTTATATATTCTTGCCTAATGAATTGAATACGTTTAATGTAGGTTTAAAATAACTATTTTCCCCGACTTTCTGTAAGCTCTTCTGGCAAATGTTTTACAATGTCAGATATTGAGGACGATGGAGACGATTGTTCAGTCATGGATGACTGAATTTGAAAAATGCACCACACAGAAAAAACTCAATAGCCACGTTGCGTACACAATTGTAAACCCACAATGTTAAACAACCTATTTTGACACTAGTGCGAGTTTCTTCAGCTCTTTTTCTTCTTTCTTCGATCATATTCATTTTGCACAACTGTAATAGTTTCACCATGCTAAGAGCACCTTACACAATTCATCATTTCATCAAATTATTTACAATGAGCGCAAGTTTTCTTGATATTCCACTGCGGGGAGAGGAGGGCTCTGGCTATGTCACGGCTTAAAAGGTCATACCAACTGTGGGCATGAACTTCACATGCCAAAGCGCATCAAGAGAAGTGCTATGATTGTTTTGAAAGTGCGAGGTAGTTGTTGCCAGCATTGTAAATTGGTACGTGCGTATCAAGTCGAACCTAAGTACCTAAGTAACCAGCTTTGCCGATGAATTCTATATGTCGCCACGTGCACGGTCAAAGGCACTATTTGGTTACGATCGTGGGCGCCACGCCCAGTCTCTCGGACCTGAATGAAACTTAAGCTCTGATAGATTGTAAACATTGAGTAGTATTTCCAATGAAGGTCGCAGTGTCGCTTCCTCATTGAAGTGCCATGCAAAGCTGTAGCGAAGGCAGTAAACTTCGCGTTCTTGTAGGTTTGGCAATATTGCACCATGTGCTCAGTAGCTGTCAATCCCGAAGTTCCATCTCCAGCAGTTATATCACAAGCATCTATAACTGCCTGTTATGCCCCTGCAATTGTGAAACATCGGCTGGAATTATTACTTGAAGTAAATCGAATTTCTCCAAGACAATGCCATAGCTAAGTCTCAGAAATTAATGCTGTTTCAAAAGGAGAAATATGCATGCAGATATTCTATTGATCTAGTGAAATATGCTTTAACAATTAAGTTTAATGTAATCACAAAGAATTAGAAAATTGTAAAAATATTGTAGTGAACTTAATTGAAAAGTTTTAGAGTAGAGGAAACTAATTCTGGGCAGCATGAAAAAGAAATCAAGGAAAATGAAAAGAAAACAACAATAATAATTTTAAAATAAGCCTAACATTTCATAAAATGTTACCTTCATTCAGAGTTAAAAGAAGCTACAAACATCATCCGTTGGTTACCCATGGTGAAGCTGTCTTTGATGTCTGCCAACAGTATTTTAGCTTGAGAAAGATAACTCCATGGTGCAAGATATGATCAGGCTATATCTTGAAATATGGTGCATCTTCGGGTGCCAAATCCTGCTCTATATCGCTCAATTTTGTATTTTTGGTTCCACTTTGTTTATCCAGTGATAATATTTGAAGTAAATTACAATGTTTTAGTCTGTATCATCATTGAAATATTAATTCCAATGCCACAAATTCTTTATCGAAGGTAAATTTCCATATATTTCATTACAAAATTTGTGGACAAATTGTTTCTCTAAACCAGCGCCATGATATCCTCTAAAAGAAGTTAAGTCAAATACTGCTGCAAAGAATGAAAGTCATTCTCATGATTTCTCATGAAGAGCATTTGCATTCACATTTATGAATTATATTTTTTGAAATTTCAAGAGAGATGTGCGACATTAAGAACAAAACAACAACAAAATGTGAATAATAATGTAGACATATTGGAAATATAATGCATTGACACAAAATGTACTAAAATGCCATATAAAAACATCGAATTTCTGTTCATTTGATTGTAGTTTGTAGACATGTGATAATTAGAATATTATAAAGCTCATAATTAAAAATGATTTTTCATAAAGTTCTGAGCCTTAGTCATAGAGAATGCACACCCAAACTTGAGGGAAAATGTTTTAACAATAGGATACTTGACAACTGTGACCAAACCAGGACATAGAACAAGCCCATACTTTCGAGGAAGTCTTTCATCAATTAAAATTTTTGTAGAACATAGTGTTAAATGTTGTTAATAATCATGTTCTTTAACCAGCTGAAGAAAATCTGTCTGCATTTCAATCATGTTTATATTTCTTACCTGTATTTCAACAATGATGTTTGTGTATGAAATCATGACCAATGAGTTT